TGTTTTGAAGTCGGAAGTCAACTGCCGAATAATAGACTTGCCGTATGAGTATACGTCGCCCAGGGTGCACACAGGGTGTCTATCACACACCCCACATAAGCAATGTAGGTGGAAGGCAGTTCGTTGCGGTTTTTCCACAATTCTCTCAATTATATTCACCTGTGAACACCTCAGCTTTTCGAGGACCGGATAAAATGGATATTTTTGCCCAAGAAAAACACAAAGTAACATTTTGCCTGCTTGTAAAATTAGGTCGTTTCTTGGCCTAATTTTGTAGCAGTGAAGATGTTATTAGTGATTTCTGAGATTTGCGGCTATTTTGGAGGTTAATTGAGTTAAGACAGAAAAACGTGCGCCGCAGTCGATATTTTATAACTATATAGGTATCGATCGGGCGCGTAGCTCATCATCAGTCGACGATAGATCATTAAGTCAGGTTTTGTTAACCGGGATTTGCAAAGCCAAAACTGGAATTCACCAAGAATGCCATTGGCAAGATGTCGCTATCTGATAGTCTCTTTGTAATATCAAGTTAGTGATAACTAAGCTCTGAATGTTATTCAGTATATCCACAATAAAATGGCCAAAATTTGAAATTAAAATTCTTTCCTTGATATGTTTAAAAAATAAGTTAATTATTTTAAGCTGCTTAAATTCGTCGCCAAATCAAGAGGGGCTTATTTCATTGTCCCTCCGTAAAATTGTAAGCAGAAGTTTTAATAGAGGTCTCCTTTTTTCCTACAATTTATCGACTACTAGTCTTCCTTACGAATTAAAGAAAACACCAGCCTTTCCTAGCCAGCACACTAAGTCTTGGTTGGGGAGCGTTCGTTTTTCGTATGATTAGCAAACAGTCAAGAAATTATCATCTGTCAATTAGCTATTTGAACATATGAGCCATATATGAGCATATAAACTGGGAATTTTATAGATATACGTGTATATTTCACATACAGACAGTGAGCTATAGATACATATGAGTACTGTGGCTATCTGATGGACCGACCAAACTTTCGCAGTCATTTTGACTTTGGTAGAATTAATCTACAAATTTTAACATCTGCTCTGGGTTGTTGATTAAAAGTATGACGTTTTTCGACTTTAGTGTAAACAATATGACACCAACTGGATCTTAACTTATCAAGCACAACAAATGTTGCTTATACTAAATATTTTATTTGATTCCATCTCATTGTTATTAAATTTGTCATTGTATCGTTATAATCTCTCCCAGACTTCAGCACTTCTGATGTATGGATTGATGTATTTCGAATTATGGACCGCAAACGTAGTTAGACAAGAGACAACAGGTTCTGTAATATTTATATCATAATCGAGCTGACTGAAAGTAAAACGTTCCTTGATTGACCAATCAGCACACACTCGTACTTATAATTGGTTCTCCACTCAGAATAAGCCATAGCCTCGCACCTATAGACGCATTTTCAACTAATGGAGGATTGGGGTAAGACTAGTAAGGGTATTCCCGTGAAGAGGGTCACACTTCGGCCAAAGTTGAGCGAAAAGCTCTCCAATGGAACAGATGCCGAAGCGTGGAACAAGGTGAGGGCAGTCATTATTAACTACGGCGCAGCAATTCAACAACTTTGGGTACCAGGATACACTGATACTGGGGGAAGGAAAAAGAATGGATTGAGCACGGCTGATGTTGTTCTTGGCTACCCAGATATTGGGAGCTACGAAAAGAACCCGGCTTATCATGGTGTCATTGTTGGTAGAGTTGCCGGTAGGATAAGCAATGCCAACTTCACTATTCCAATCGAATTGAATCCGTCAATCTCAATGGTTTACAAGCTACCAAAAAATCAGCAGAAGAAACATTGTCTTCATGGTGGAACGTACGTTTTCTAGAGTTTTTTTTTAACAAAATGTTTTGCACAAGGCTGTGTTTCATGGGGGAAGTTCGTGAAAGTTAGGAATTTATTTCCGATAACCTCAATTTTCTTCCTCCTACTCAATATTTCCCTCTCACTTAAAAGCTATAAAAAATATTCTGAGAGGGAGGTTAGCTTATTTTCGTGTTGCCTTTTACATTTTCCATATCTTAAATAAAGTGAATGAATAGACAGAGGCCTTAGAAGTGATGTGATCTGAGTGGAAGCAAAAGACTTGTTGTTAACATTTAGCTGCAAATACTATCATGCTGTTTCCTGGCGCCAATAGAGCCTAGTCTCAGTGGCTCACATTAAGTGCTTTTCATACCTTGACCTATGGCTATTTAAATTTAGACATTAACGGAGTCGGGTAGGAAAACTTATTAACTATAAGTTTGAACGTCCATATTCCTTTATTTGCTATGACGAAGCTATGAGTAATTATACGGCTATTAGTTAAGTAAGATTTAAACACAACTAGCCATTTCGCTCGTAAAATAAATGCAACGCGTGTTAGTAGGCAAGAACTTTGCTGATGAACCCTAAGAATAATGGGACTATGCCCAGAATCTCTATTAGATTGGAATCTCTGCATTCATTGATCACCTTGGGTAAGCAACAAGTTTTTCAGCTGTTTTGGTGATTGTGAGTATATATATCAGTGTTCAGTTTTGAGCTGATATTGTGTTGCTTTTATAAACCGGGCAAGGAAATTGGTAATATTGATACTCTGAAACGTTTCATATAAAACCCCGTATGCCTTTTATATAAACCTAAGATTTCTGCTGAAAACCTTGAGAGAATCTTACCGGACATTGCTTGGTAACGTCCAATGCCCAAACAAGTGGAAGATACTTCCTCCGCCTTGACCTCACTCTCGGATGTGTCATTAAAGCGAAGTGGACTAGAACGCGTCTTAAATAGCCTATAAATAATGGTTGAATATTTGCTCTGTCGTACTTTTAATGTCTCTCGTTAAAGAGTACTTACAGAGCTATTTTTGTGGTTCCACGTTTGGCCAACTCCCAGTAAACACATATTGCATCTATATTTTAACAGTGAAAAAATGTATCCACACTCCTGCGTACGAATAATGTTCAAATTATTATTCATTTTCGTGGTAAATCGTTTAATAAATAACTTCTAAGGGGATTTCAAGCGGCTGAAAGTTTTTAATATGTGGATTTAAAGGCATTAAATATTTGCATTTTGAAGTGTAATACGGAAAGCAGTAATTTCATGGTGATAAATACCCGATTACCATCTTTGCACATTTATGTGAATTAAAACAAAAGTATCTAGTTCAATGAATACGTTTTATGGCCAATGATAGGACAAAAGTGCTTTTGTAACAACTCTTAAAATCTGCTTGGTGAACACTATGAATCATAAAAGAAAATTGGAAGAAAGATTAAATTGAAGTGATTAGTCCAGGTATGTTAATCAATTGACTTAGTGAAGTTGGTTGAAACGCTTCAGAGAAGGTTTATGGGCACGTTTTCATTTTCGGCAATGTAATGCAATTCTCCTCTCTTTATTTCAGCACGGGACTATCCTTTCGCGTTTGGGATATTGTCGAATTAAAGGAGGATAGTGTGAAACTCAAGGTGGTTTCCGTCGATGGTGAGGATGGCTTCCCTGGAAACTTGACCGTCTATATTACTTATCGTCTTTCAGTAAATGAAGAAGACCAACGTGTCAGCCTGTCGATTGATTATTTTGCCTCCATTACAGATGCCATTTGTCCAATAAATCTCACAAATCACACTTACTTCAATCTTGCAGGCCATCGTGCTGGTCCTGAGGCCCTTGATCGACATTCGGTCTGTATTCAGTCCGATAAAATGTGTGAATGCGACGCAGAACACATCCCAACTGGCCGCCTAATCAAGGTTGGGAAAGTTGATGAAACGGATCTCACTTCGTTGAAGTGTCTTAAAGAGGGCCTGAGGAAGATTCATCCACCACCTCATGGATACGATGAATTCTATATGTTCAGAAACCTACCGGGAGATGAAGCGAAAGTCACAGTGTGTGAACCCAACTCTTCTCGCAAGTTAGAGCTTTTTACTGACCAATTGGGAGTTCAATTTTACACGGGAAACTTCTTGGATCCAAAGTCTGATCCTATTGGAAAAGATACCTACAGTTATCCTTCTCATTCTGGGTTCTGTCTTGAGGCTCAGGGATTTCCTGATGCGGTGAATCGATCAAATTTCCCAAAGCAATTTGTTGCTCCAATTGAAATGAACTATGTCCAGAAAACAAGGTTTGAATTTACAGTTCAGAAAAACTAACAATTATTGCTCTGGAAGTAATAGGACTATTACAATCAACTAATGTTTCATTGATTAAATCGATCGATATAATTAAAACATCCCATCCTATATTCAAGAAGTGCAAATATTACTTCAAATAATGAATAATTTGCCTTATTTAAAAATTACATTAATTAACATGAACTTAACCTATGTTTAAGCATCTCTATCAAGTTAGAAACTACCTTTGTCTTTGTTTACTATGGGACCCAATTACTATCTGAGAAGAGATTGCCATGGTCAATTGGTTTTGATTAATGCTAATTTGGATATTCTAGTTATCGATAACGCAATCTATACCTTAAAAATCGGTTGAATATCGGACGCCAAATAGCCCCTAGTACACACCTGTTTCACACCCAAGCATTGTTTAACGTTTGCACCACTGGTAAATTCTGAATATCTTGTGGTCATTTAGAAACACCGGTTGGTGAAAGATCAAGTAGACCTATTGAAATCAGTTTATTTCAAAAGAAAGTTGGCGGTGTCTTATCTGATAAAACATACTTTCGCGGAAGTCACAGAACAATGGGTACTAGTGGAGAACCTCATAACAGGAACAATAAAGACGCCTTACCCTATTATAACTGTCGGTGATTTAATTTATGAATGTTTAACAACCACTTCACTCGATGAAATAAAATACAAACCGATTAATCCATTGTAATAAGGTAAGAAATTCTCGAAAAAACCCAATGCGGTAAAAGGGAGAAAGCTATAAGATACAACTAATAGGCGTATACTAGTGAGTTGCTAAGTGTATTAAGTCTACTCCTCGGGTAAAATTGAAAACGATCTCCAACTGATTAAATGCTAAATGAACGAGGTAGGTTTATTGGAAATAGAGTGCAAAGTGTGCGTGCTTGCTCTAAGGGCATGGAGAAAGACACCAGTGGGCGAGAAGGCGAAAAGAAAGTTCATTTATATTAGACAAGAATATTCAGAAATGTAAAGAAATGACTAAAAACACACACACACACACAGAGAGATCTCAGCACATCTAATTGAACGCCAGCATGAGTAGGCATTGCGCCGTGTAGCATAAAAATACCCTTGAAGAATGCATGGGATAAACATTCTGCATGCAGAATTAGGAGAAATATTTTGGGTAATAAAGAACGACCGGACGTTTATTTTCGCAATTGAGCCTTCGCGGAATAATTTACTGGAGAACTGTCATACTAGAAATTTGGTGTTCCGACGTAAAAAGAATAGTTGGAAGGAGTGCACTTTCGAGCATTGGCGCGCTGACGATAAATCTCACCTATTGTTTGTTCTGATACGTTAAAGAAAATTGTGCTTTGAAACGACTCTATATTGCCTCGTTGAAAAGTACTTCACAGACAAGCTTTTCTGGATCATCCGCACAGCCTTCTCGTACAACCATAGCATTTGTGTAGAGCCACCTAAGAGGATAAGACGATATCAAATTGAAAGTCCATGTATTAACCGTCGGTGAAGTAATTGGAGAAGAAGACGAAGAAACAACATTAAATACCTAAGGGCGTCATTTCCTTGGGGCATGCGAAACTTGCGTTTTGACCAACCGAAACCGGTAATAAGGCAAGATTCCATGACACTGCATAACTCTCCAACGCCTGGATTACTAATACAAGAGACTCTCTCATCCAGATGCAATGAAGAATGTTCATGAATTCTAAAACCGAAACCAACTTTAATTATTCCCATCAAGCAATTCAAACTCCAGGGCAATACTTATGTTTACCCAAGGCCACATTTGTTTCCAACTCGTATAAGAAATGGCGTGTGGCTACTTCCAGTGTCCATCCTGTCACTGAGACGTCGTGTTTTAACACCAGAGTCATGCAACAATGTAGGCGGCAAACTTCGGCCAATCCTTCTGGTTCACGTCAATCACATGAAGAATTATCTCCTATAGTTAAAAACTCATACATCAGGTATGCTACTTATGAATCACAGTGGAAGGTAAGAAGGTTTCCGTAAAACAAGTTACGCGTGACTAAGATGATTCATAAACATTTTACTTAACATCGCCCATATTTTTGAACTTAATACTACAATATCAGATAATTAGTCACATAGACTACGAAACCATGGGGGTTCAATTTCAATTTTCCAAATTACAGCATCAAGACACTCCGCCAATGTTGCTCTGAATGCAGCTATCAAGTCACGTGGTAGATCAGCCATGAAACCGATGGTATCCAACATGAGCATCCGGAGACCAGGAGCCCCCCACTGCAGAAAGATTGGAATCGTTGTTTTCAAGCCCAGTGGGGAGACGAGCTGCATGGTGGGTCACGTCAAGTGTGGCAAAAACCTGTGGAGAGGCGATCATTTTGGAGCTTCCCGTCAATGTTCGGATCAGACTAGTTTTGCCTAAAACAAATTATAAGCACATCAAGCACTACACATACAGAGCACAAACAAAGTCTACTTATTCACAGTGGAACAACCTTACCTGCAATAGACGCGATTAGTATCTACAACTACTTCAAGCCATAGTCAAAAATTTATGTAAAATCCAAATAGGTAAATAAGCGGTACATGCTGCGTTGTTTTAACAGAATACAATTGCAATAAAATCCTATCTAAAACAAAATAACAACACCACCTAGTCTCATGGAATTGGAATATACCCACCCAATCCATTCCTTAACGATACCAATATGCAATTACAACTCATTACATACCAGCGTTTGTATAGCCGATAACTGCAATCACAGGAAGCCTATTAAGGGTTCGGTCACGACGTCGCTTTCGAGTCACCTCTTTTCGCTTCTCCTCTTCCTCCAATATCATCGTCAACTTTCGTTCTTGATCCTAAACAACAAAACAATACCATTGGAGAGGCAGATGAAAGGGAATGTGGATGGCCAAGTAATGTGGTCAAGGGGGAGGCCAAGTGATAATAAGCGCTAAAATTCAACTCAAACAATATGATGTGAAGTAAATAGTATAACTCTAGGAAAGTAGTTTATTTTCCCACTTTTATTAGCATAAACTTTCCTGGATTGCAATAATATGATGAGAGAATGACATTATCAATTTTAAAGATGACCTGGGAGAAGCGTAAACAAGTGGAAAACGTGAGCCGTAAAGAACAAACGCCAATCAACAGACGTAACTGCGACCGTTAAAAACCGAACCCTCAACGGGGCATGGTTAGGTGCTTGTGCAAACTGATGATCTCAATTCCACACCAAGGCTGCAAGTTAGCAACCGAACACACTTATTTAGGAAACTTCCTATTCAATAGCCAAAAAAGATGAATGTCTTGCCGACCACCTCAGTACTGTCCCATTCATTCACTTGAAGCTTCTATTCCAATGTAAACATCACAAAAAATTTCTGCGTCATGCCAAAAACTCACATCAAGTACACGTCTAAGATGATCATGATTACGAACTCTGGCTGTTGCCATTGCATCAGCAGCAGCTAGACGAGAACGTATGAAGGCCAATTCAGCCAATTGGGCTTGAGCCCTTGCTTCACGCGACTTTGCACGAAGGAGAAACAGCTGAACCACCACAGTATATCTAAAAGACGAAATTCATCATCAATAGGCCGAATAGCAATACACAGTGAACGTGAAGACAGTCTTCGTTACCCACATATAGTTCCCAACATACTAAGCTGTATTTTATTGACCAACTTTAACATCTTAATCGTCCGCAATATGATAAGAGACATGCTAACTACTGTTATAGTTGCACATACAGGTGAAATTAAAACAGATAAACAATATAGTGATCGAATCAAAACCTCAGAAGTAAACGTGTTTGCATTTGTTATCATCGGCAATACAATCCCTGCATTTAATTACAACAGCAGATTAACTTCGGGGCTAGCACATGGCTATTTGCTGTTTTAGCCTAGTGTTCCCTTTCCATCACATTCATTTTCGATTTTCCACTTCGACATATTGCAACCTTATTCTTAATATAAAGACGTGACATCATATCCACCTCCTTCTTAGCAGGTAATAACAAGGTTGACCGCTTTTAATTTTTCCAGAGACGACTATAGTCTCTAAGCCATCTGCTACTTGATTCTCAATTTCTATAAAATTGGGAATCAATACAATCAAAACAAAAGTATTCCATGAGCACCAATAATGCTTGTTCATAAAATATTAACAAAAAAGCCCAAGCTTGCACTCAAAAGGGCAATTTCAAACACAAAGCTTTATTGTTAATAGCTCAAGAGATGAAGAGTTGAGGATAATAAAATAATCCGCAAAGCGGAAACATAAACTCTGTCTCTTTAAATCCATTAAAAGCAATAAAATTGAACAAAGCAAATAAAACTCTGAATAGTCAAGTTTGCAAAACAATAGGCAGTCTTTTCAATAACTGAGTAACAGTTTTCATTCTGCTTAAGATGGACAATAGATAACTGCTAAAATGAATTTCCACGTTTGAAAAGATTTCAAAATCTACTTATTAAAAACCTGCTCCAAGATAGTTTCAAACCCGTGTAAAGACTCTTATTGGGGACGCCATGGGGAACAAGCATTCGAGCAAGCTGTCTTTATACCGATGCATTCATTTGACCATTAAAGATATATCAGTTAATTTGATGAGCGATAACTAACTGAAACTTCTATTTAGGAGCCTTGGAATGCTACTTCTCTTATCAAGATGCACGTTGTGAAACAATTTCACTTTCATAGGTTGTCGATCAATCTTAGATAAGTAATTTAAATCGCAATCAATTTTGTAGAAACCTCGAAGTAAAATGGGGTGCAAGAAATCGCGTTGCGGTCACTGACACCAATTTAGATTTTAGAAAGATTCGACTCTACGAATAACTGAAAAGGTGATCAGCAATTAAGAATTTGTGGAAATAATAACAAACTCTAATAACATTGGAAACGCAACAAACCCGGTTGAACAATCAAGATATTGTGAACTGCTGAGAGATTGATGGCGTATTCAAAAGGTAATATGTCTTGATATAAAAACCCACTGAAGGACGATAAAGCATATCGATAAAATCGAAAAGAACTATGAATGAGAGTTCTCTATAAGATGAGAATATATTACAATGACTGATAGCTAGTAACGCCCAAGTAGTGCTACATACTTCAATGAAAATTAAAAACATAAGACAATAATATCAGGAACAGACGACGCGTATTAAATACAGGGGCAAGCACACGAGCGCTATTAATTAAGCGGGTCAGAAACACTTTGGTCGGCTACTTTAAGCCTTTCATGGTCCCAAATGACCTTACTTTTTGGCAGTTACGAAAAATAGTCATAACTTGTCATTCTAAATATAATATCTAATAAAAATATTCGTATATGTTAATTTATTACTATATAATAATATTCGTCCTAACCATGTGCTCTATTTGTGTATTAAAATTTCATCTGCTCAATCATAAATAATTATAAATTTAATGGTTTAGCTCTATTAATTTTATAAACTTTTGTCATAATTTTACATGTATGGCTTACATTTATCACCAGTATAATTCTCGACTAACGATTACCACTTTACGATTTTGTAAATATTTGAATATGAAATAGATGCATTATATATTTTGTAGTTGCCCTTGTATAATCAGATCTCAATATTTGATAATTTAACAAAAGTATCAATTCGTAATTCGTCGCATATTATATGCCAGCGATTGGGAACTTTTTTGGACACAACTACAAGTTTCCCACGTTTTTCACTATAATGTGTATTTATTAGTTATAAATGAAAATGGTTCATTTAATAAGAAAATTATAATGTCCGTTTTAATATTACAATGGATCGCAATCATAGCTTAGCGTGTCCATGTAAATGGAATTAAAAATTCAACCATTAAAATTTTAACACGATACTATTCATTATCGTAGCACCCTGAACCTCTCCGATTTTGATGCCTCATATTGATCGAAACCCTTATCCAATCTTAGAAGACTCATCTGCAATTTCCACATCATTGTTTATTAACTTATAGGCAGCTCTATTCTAACCTTTACTTATATGTAGAGTAACAATGAACAACTTTTAAAGATGCAAGGTGTTTTGGATAGACTTGACGGAATGATTGTTGGTTATTTTTTACAGTTTTCACGCTCACTTTATTTCCTTTTAAAGTTAAAGCATCTCTTAAGACATGCCATTATATTTGATGTCATGCTTTATGACAGTCGTCAGGTGAGAAGACACCGACATAAATGTTGAATAATTGGCTGCTGTTGTTTTAAAAATAATTTTGACCTCAATTCCAACTTACAATAAATAAAGTGAACTCGGCTTTGATGTGGGTAATTTTAAAGAAGCAATAAATAATCGCTTGCATGAAGAAAGTAAATAAAAATTTATAGATAGTTCAAACGCATCTGTCTAATTTACAGGTACCACGTGAATATAGCAAGCATTTAAAGCGGGTACAAATGACATCGCTCCAACCCAGTTGGTTTCAATTTATTTTTAATAAGGTGTCCTTACAGATGCTACCAGCAAGTTCTTTTGAAATATGAGATACTTCATTTTCCAAAGTAGGTGGAACGTATGTTAACAAATGGGTGTCAAAAATATTAATCCGAAATTATTAATTATTGCAATAATTGTTCTACTAACAATGTTCACAATTTCCTAATTTCATTTTGATTTTTCTGGGGTGTCAAACGCCAACGCACGAGAAAATATCCTTCAGTCGGCACTTGGGAACGAGAGCACTTTCAACAATCCCGATATCGATGTAATACTTGTTGGAACTAAGGTGATGTACTTTTCTCGAGTTCTTAGGAAGGAGAAGGCAATTATCGTACCGAAGGAGTGGTGTAGTAATTTGGGAGCTAAACAGGTGCTCACTTCATCTCCGGTTGCACAGAAGTTAATAGAATGTTACAAACCGAACATACATCTTGAAAACGAAGCAGAATCCATTGCAAAGTCATTGAAGCTCCTTCGTGACTCGTTTCAAAGGGAGAATATTCCACTCTGGATGACATATGGCTCTTTGATAGGTTCACAACGATATCATCACAGAACTTCATTCGATTCTGACGATGACATGTCTGTGAGGCACGATGACTGGCCACGAATCGAAAAAATTCTGACTAAACATGCTTTCAATTCCAGTACTCGAATGCGGGGATATTTGACCTTAGACCTGCAGATGCTAATCTAAAGCTAGGACTGACATGTGCGATAAATGACATTTGGCGTGGTCCTACTCTATGAACTTCATTTTGTAATAAGTTAACGTCTAGTAAAGGATATCCAGTTGGTCTTAATTAGGCTCAGTACAAAGCTTCCATGAGTGATTGTGGAGTTTATATAGACTTTTACATTCATGCATCGGATAATGAGGAATTCAGGACATATCCTGATGGAACAATATTTTATCGTCCAATTGAAGGAATTCTCTTTCAAACAGTGATTAATTGTTTGCCATTTCTTGAAAGTGTTTACCATTAAAGTATTGAACTATGTGTAGCTAAAACTTCATACTATTGGAAGGCTGAACATACTAAATTACCCGGGTACTGTAAAAACATGTCTGTACCTTGTGCTTGGTTGGATACCATATATCCCCGAGTTCACAAAATTGATGTACCTGAGAATGGCTTGAAAATGGAAGTTGGCTTGGAGAATTCTCCTGAAGGCGAGTGTCTTGCTCGGTCAATTTTTTTCACTCAAAATATTTATTTTTTATTTATTTATATCAAATGGCATTCGTATTGATAGTTATCATTAGCCCTTTAGTTGATTTCAGGCTTCGCAGAGGGGAAGGAACATCAAAGTGAATAAAACGTCGAGAAGGAGGGGGGGAGGAAACAGAAGAGTGTTTCAGAGACGAAGTTAGAAAAGGTAGAATAAAGGTGGGGTGAGCACTGTGAAAGTAGTCGACTATGACAAATAGTAGGGTGATGGTAGTTTGAAGTCAGAAGTCAACTGCCGGTAAATAGACTTTTTTACCGTATGAATATACGTTGCCCAGGGTGCACCACGTGGAGGTAAGTCTATCGCACACCCCACACCCAAAATATCGATTACTGATTGTTCTGTCTAACAACTCTTACGGATGCATTAATAATGATTGATGAATTCAACAGTGATCTTTGTTTTTAAAATATAGGTAATAAATAGCCAACAAGAAGTGATGGGATTGATGACTTCGACAAATTTTGACCTATTATACTTAAATAAAATTGAATCACTTCGAGAATTTCCGTAGAGCTATCAGCGGTAAATTTGAAATGCTTCAAATATTACTCGACTGATGCTAAAGGGCAAAGTCATTATGTGGGATAAAGTAGAACAGAGAATAAAA